TAATGCCAAACTCTATTTATCCGACTGTATGAATAAATTTCGCTCCAAAATTCAAGACTCATTATCTTATACCTGATTGGTTCGTCCATAAATTATGGTCTCACTGAAACATTTTAAGAGGATACTTACTGATATGTAAAATATTTTCAAGTGCACATTGTATACAATATAAATACTAGATAAAATACATTATAATTACATTGAATTCGTTCATAAACCAATTGTAGTCAATCCCACAAAACTTAAACCTTATAAACTTATATTTCAATTGTACATTGCGAGGTTTGATCGTCTTACTACCTAACACTTAATTCATTTTTAATCATTATTCCAGGGAAATAAAGATAAAAGAAGTAGCTATGTGTTTGGCTTCTCATTGCTTCGACCTTATTTATGGCAATGTAAATTTAACTTGATTTACTTTGAGTAATAAAAAAATACTAATATTATAATAAATGAAAACCTTTTCATACAAACATGTCATTCCAAACAATCATTTTAGTGAAAATACATGCCGATTCCTAATTCTTCCTAGTTTTTAATCAACAACTAATCTACCATATTTTTATTTATCTAATTTATTGTTAATTTTAAATCGTTTATTATTTTACTTTTTCCGTTTAGATCATATGAATTCCATGTCGTTGTTTTTGACAAGGGTAAACTAGTTAGAAAGAAATAAACAAATAAATCACAAATATATTTTTTTAATATTCGAAAATATACATTTTGTTAAGTGGTTTATGAAGACTATATATTTTACTAAATGAGAATCACTCTTAAGAAAGTAAGAAAGCCAGGATGAAGCAGGTGCTCAGTATCCTCTAACTGGGAATACTTTTTCATGTGGTATCATTTCGTACGGATAAAAGATTATTGTGATACGAACAAGCTAAAGAATAAAATGAGATTTTAAAAAATTCATGTGTATCACTAGTATTTTTTATATACTTAAATAGAGATGGTTATATTGAAATGTTGATTAATTACTGAGTGCTATTTTGTAGTTATTTATGATCTCATTCTACCTACCATGTTGACTTCAAGTACACGTGTAAGTGATTCGGTGTCCAGTAAACTATTGTTTTATGCTATGTGGCTTAATCCGCTCGGTCGGGATTCCTTTACTCAAGTGTTATGCTACTTAGGAAGGCATACCTCCAATGTTGATGCTTCAAGTGGAATACATACCCATTATATCTAGTTTCGCAAGCAAAGATGCTACTACTGATCTGTTTGATCAGCGATTGAACTCCTGTTCATAATGAATGTTCACGTCTTAGAGGCACATCAGTTCTAGAAGGTTTAGGGTTGTATCGTAATGTCAAGGGCCAATAATTCCAAAATTTTAATTCGAATCTACTTAATGATTTTCGCAAGCTACCTAAGATCTAACGAAAATAGTCTGTTACCACTAGGATTACTTATTTGGTTTTCCTACAAGGGGTGGTATCATAACAAATTATTATCGATTATGCTTGATATTTCTCTGACAAGCTTTCGAAATTGTTTACACACAAAATTTCTTGTTAGTAAATGTCATCCCATAAATATTTATTTTCAGTTTACACGTCATTTCTATGTTGTGTATAAATGTTTCATAATTAGATCACTTAATAGACATTTGTTTATGTGTTATGCATTTCAGGAAAATTCATCAAACTTTTTTTAAAAACACAACAGTTTTCAGTTAGTGTTGTGCTTCGAAATAACCTAATTATGAATATACTATTCACTATTTAAACAATTATTCATGTTACAATGAAAATATTGTATTTTCATTTTTAAAAAAAAACTGATTCGTAATATTGCATTATAACATTTACCCTATAAATAAGCTAATTTTCATTACAAGCATAAGAATATAGTTAAACTAATTTATTTTGAAAGACATCAGATTTTGAAATTCCATACAGGTATTATTGTTAGATAGTTTTAAAAAAAAGGAGTAGATAGATTTTATACATAAAATGACTGTCGTTACCGATTGTACAGTCAGAACGATCAAAGTCGATTCAATATATATATGCACAGGTTTAGTAAAACGTTATTTATATTACTTAGGGATTATTTATTTGCTTGGCTTAGTCAGTAATTGGTATTATTGATCTTATTCAAGTTTCTAATATACTATAATCTAATAGAAACATAATCAATACATTAGTTTTAAAAGTAAGTTGAACATTATGATCTATTGATCGATTGAATTCAATGACTAGACGTTACGATATTGATTAGTAATTACGTGTCGATCAATATAAATTAACTTTGCGTCATAAATCCCTATTTTGTTTTTGTTTTGATAATAATAATAATGATAATGATGATAATATAAAACTAACTAAAAGAAACGGTAGCACGAATTACTATGATAGATTGTTCATCATATGTGTGTTTGGGTGCTTTGTGACCGGATGATATAGACATCTTTTTAGTGTTATATTAAATGATGCAATGATAATAAAATTTGAGATCAAACATGTAGGACAACACGAATAATCACTTTCATTAGTGGATGAGATGCATGAAGTCTCTGGTGTAAGCAGTATTAGAGGAGAGGTAATCATCATTGCAGCATGCAAACAGTGTTTTTGAATCTTTTCCATGTACGGATTGTTGTAAATTTTTACAGACTAACAAAAGTTTGCTTACAACTTATTTCATACAGGAAGTAGATTCCGAATGAAACAATATCACTTTTTATAAAGTACTATAATTTTGTGTTTCTGCATAGTGGTTAGAATTGGTGGATGTAAGATATAATTTCTTTATTATTTGGGAGAATATTAAATTAGCGCGAAGAAAATTAACCCACATTGAGTAATGTAATTTCTAAATTCCATCTTCAAAATCAGTGAACAACATTAATTTTCATTGTGATTCGGCTTGTGTATGACTTAGCACATGAGGAGAGAACAAATACATAATTATCCGCATTCAGGAAATGCTTAGCCATGCTTTCACAGTCACACACACAGTTTATACGGTCAAATGATCAATGGTATTATTTTTCACCACACAAATTGCTATCGGAAGAGCGTTTGATAGAGAGGAGTTTATTTAAATTGCTTCGTGTTTGCAACTAAAAAAACCAAACCATGCAAGCAATGTTTCTCTTATACTATAAAACATGTGTTTACTTATTAGAAGCTAGTGGTTAACTTTTTAAAACGCCTTAGATATGCTAAGGTACTGCACTTAAACTAAATGTCTGAAATTATATTCTGTAATAACTAAGTAAACAAGATCAAAGTGACGAATGATGTGAATAAAGTCATGTGAATTATTGATAAATTTTTCTGCGTTTTGTCGTATACAATATTTTCCTTTATTCCAAGGATAACTGGAGTAATATTTATAACCCTACACTTGTACAAATTAGTCTTATTTTTATCTTTGCAGCATGGTATTTTATATGTAATACTCCAACAGTAAACTTTAATATTCATTTGATGAAAGTTTTCAGTCTAACAAGTTATGTCTGGGTGTTTTCTTCATGCGATATTTTCTATAAGCAAAGTTTGTTAAATTGAAGCAAAAATGGAGAGTAAGTAATCCATTGAAGAAATCACTTCTTTGTGATTTCATCTTACTGATTGTGCAATAGTTAATAGAAGCATTTAATCTCCGCGAATCGTATTCTAGTAATGGTCATAATGTACTCATTAGTGACTGGTTTTAAGATGGATTCCCTGTCCAGTGCTCCTGAGTTTTCAATGGTGATCTAACTTATATCGATTCATGAATTCAACTATTGAAATAAACATTTCATTTTGCATAAACAAATCTTGTAATGTTTTCTGTTTATAATAATATTAGTAGTAATGATAATGTATGTAGTAATATATCAAAGTAAGAATAATTTTAAAAAAAATGTTATTCTTGTTATAAAGCTCGAAATATAAGTCATTAATAAAAAGATTATTTTAAGAAAACCTAAAATAGTAATTAAAGACGATAGAAAAGCTAAAATAATTCCATTTGTGTTTTATGACTTCAAGAATATCATAGAGTGATAATTTGTATGACGATAGATTATTGCTATTCTAAGCGAAAAAAAAACAAGATAAATTTCGTTTGTCTGTATAAGAAAAAACTTCTGTTTATGATAAAGTCTTTAGCATAATACAGGCGAAAAGATAATACGCCTATGGTAACTTTCCTTTAGCTTTGCAGATTATACTGAATTAGGAATTTATTATGATTAAATGACCAATCTATATAGGGTGTTACATTGTCACTCAAATTTTAGATCTTTTCATTTTTTCTTCTCACCAATAACAAGAGAAGTGTTCTCGAACATTTATCTTGAGTAATGCTAAGAACATAGAATGATCAATTTAGCTGGTTTAGAGAGATTGAATGAAATTATCACTACAGGTCATTTGAACTAGTTGTTTTGCGTAGCTTGCCTTCTGACAATACATGTCAAATACTTATCTAAATATCAACAAGAGTAACTGACTTTAAGGGAGTTGCAAATCCATATTTATATGCAAAACATGTACTCTAGTATAATTGTCAGTGATCTGATCAAAGGTATCAACAGTATACTTATTTTTGTCGTCTTAATAGCTATTTGTCTTCAAATAATACTACGAAGCGTTTCCATATTTATTATTTAACATAGTCAAATATGCGTGGTGTATAAAAAAGAGGAAATAACTGAATTGAAAAAATCAGCCGTTATAGATGATCATAAAAATGTACGGAGTAGATATTAAAAAAAAGTTTTTTTTTTAAAATAATTTAATTCATCTATTATATTGCTATGTTTCTGCACTTTAATCTCTATATAAGTTGGTCTATTTCTATACATAATGTTAGCTTTTAATCCTAGTAAACAAAATTATTCACAATTAATTTTTACCAGTATTTCAAATTTTTATATTTCCTTAAGTTTTTAAAATCAATCTCTTCTAACCATAAATAAATTCAAAACAAATAAACTTTTAGCAACTAATATTTTAATGTTACATTTCTCTTTCCTTTTTTTCTAGGTACACATGTTATGGAAGGTTCTGGTAAAATGGTTGTTACAGCTGTTGGAGTAAATTCACAAGCTGGTATTATATTTACATTGTTAGGTGCAACTGAAGGAGACAGTTCAACTGCTGCACCACCGCCTCCAATTAATTTAACTAATGCTAATGAGATGACACAAATTTCAAGGAATACAAATCCAAACTATGATACAGATAGTAAACAACAACATGAAATAAATAAAAATCCTAATGATCAATCTAATGGTAATAAACATTCAATTAAAGGAAGTGGCCATGTTGCTTTCAGTGGTACATCTGAAGGTAAATAAAATTTGATTATTAGTAGATTGCATATAACATGTTTACTTTTGAGGAACATATATAATTTGTTCTCATATATGTTGAATTATAATAATACGAAGGTAGTAAACACCATTTAAATTTGCTATGAATTATTGGTAGTGAATGTTAATTACATACCAGTTGAATACTAATGATAATCATATGAATAAGTCATCGAAATAACTGTAAGCAAAAGAAACGAAACTTATTTTTTTTAGGTACGATTCTTTGTCAAATTGTTAATTAAATATGCTTTAAAGAGAGATTTTTGTCACAAGCTAACATTTGATAGTAAAATATGATTATTTCTAGTATGAATAGTTTATTATCATTATGGGTATCCTGAAGTTTTAGTTAGAATTACAGAAATTTATATTCACTTCAACCAGAAGTGAAAATTCAACACACTGATGACTTTAAGATTGAGTTGTATACTTTATGTCCTTAACTTATACAATCACCACGAAGTACGATAGCCAATTTCGATATGCGGACTTATACAAATAAACTAATGACTCATATACTAGTACAAGCAGCCTAGAGTATCGAACAGTCCTTTTTCCTCCTAGCCCTACCTGTCAAGTCCAGAACACTAATCCCAGCCTCCGCGATACCAATCATTTATAATGAAATTAATATAAATATACATATAATACAGTCACTTAATAGTCATACAATTAAAATATACGTATAACATTAGTCCATAAACAGATCTCAACAGTTACCTTTCATCATTCTTGTTGGGATATAACAGTATAAACTATGGTATAACTGAAATAATGAAATATTATTTTCAATCTTATGTGTACATTACATTATAGAGAACCCATGATTAAAAACATTTCACTATTTCTATTACTTTATTTAAATGTATAATCAAAAATTATTTTATTCATAAGTCATATAGCCATTTTATCTGATATCATGAAAATGAATTAGTTTCAATTTATTTTTGTCTATAAAAGAATCGAAGTTATGTTACAACACATAAACTGATGAATGTTTTATAAACAGATGTTATTCATAACTTGTAAAATTCTTCTGATATATTGTTATGAACAATGAAATCAAGTGAGGAAAACTAATTTATTGTTTAATGCAAAATTATAGAGTTCATTCGTAAAATATGAAAACCAGACATGAAATACAATATTGGCATATCTTCCTTCAGTTGTCCTTTTACACATTTTATGATTTTTTTTTCAATTCTGATGTTATTACAACTGCTCTCCTTGTTTATATTCCTGTTCTATGCAATTGAATTTTCTGATTTTTCTGCTGGCACTTCTGATCGATGCTACATATTACTAATATCTGTCAACATATGTAGCATACACTACAATATAGTTTAAAATAAAAAGCTTACTGAGAAAAATTATATGTATTTAATTTTATTAGAAGGGATTTTGCGGAGATTTTAGAAATTTCACTGATTGAAGTCATGAGTCAATTAAAGCTAGGCCACCGTGGAAAGCCTGGGAGCACTGAGCGGCCGTTTCGTCCTAGTATGGGACTCCTCAGCAGTGCGCATCCACGATCCCGCTCCCCGCGAGATTCGAACCCGGGACCTATCAGTCTTGCGCCAAACGCTTAACCAACTAGACCACTGAGCCGGCATCCAACGGTGTTAATGTCCAACTTCAACCAATCCACGAAGTTGCGCCACCGTACACCACTATCATCAGTGAGTTGATATCTCACAACAGACCTGGTTGAACTCTAATGGTAACGGCTTCTCACTATAACTCCAGGAGTCCCATACTAGGACGGAATGGCCGTCCACTGCTTCCAGGTCTTTAGTTTTGTCAAAGCAGATAATGAAATAAATTATTGTTATAAATATGATTATTATCGTTATTGATCTGTCCTAGTTAATTTAAAAATGGAAATGTATAGGGGGAATATTTTTTTCTTGCTCCAAAGTCATAAATTCACAAATTAAACATTCATCGAACTTTAAAATCAGCAAATAATTGGTTTGGAAATTCATAATATAACGCAGTCATTCTAAATTTTGGGTTACTGCTTCACATATAACACAGTTGTCCTCCACTGGTTACAACTTCTCAGTATAAATTTTAGAAGTACATCTAGAAGTCAGTCACTAGTGAGCACGTAATAATTACCAGTACAAGTGGCTTGTATAGCTTGCTGAATGTTATTGAGATCACGAAATTCACTCAGATCAACAAGAACCAAAAAACAGAAAGCATTAAATAGCTGGTAGGGTTGTCGTTTTGAAGGGCTAAGGAGCCATTACCTGACTATAACTTATGGATGAACCAATTAAATTTGAGACGGCAGGTCCTGAATTTCGGCGTGAAATTCACTCACCCAATTAGCTACATAGCATTTTGGCATGATAGCTTGTGCCAGTTGGTGATGGAAACCCTGACTATTATTACTAACTTTGGCGTCCTACTGTAAATCTTATCTCCGATTCCTTACGTTTATTTATGTCATTCATTTGACCTTAGTAGACTGGTCGACATCCTTAAGGTCACTCAATCATCTTTCAAAAGTCACCTACAAATTATAGTCTCGCATGACGCTTTCACTAGGACGAAACATCTGTCACGTGCCTCCTGATTTTTAATGACTGTCTAGATTAAGTCGGTTCGTGATCTCAATTATATTCAAAAGACTTCAAGAACTTTCTACGCATACATATTTAAAGGTGGAGAAATGGTGGGCATGTTGTTTATTTGAAGTGATCGAATACAAAACTGATTATCTATAACGTACAATGGCTTACAATTAATAGATAACTTTCTAAATGTCTATGTATGCACGTTTTTAGTTTTTTCCTCAAGGAAAAATTTGATAGGAAACGAATAAGCAACGAAAAAAATAAATCGTTTTATTCTTTATTGTTATTTGAATAATAATTATTATTATTATCATAACCATAATAAGACTTATTACCATTGTTATTATTTTTATCCTACTTATGTATTCTGACGACATAAAGATACATTAGTAAACCTTGTTTGAATCTTCAGTAATAAATATTTTATTATAATTGGCCTTAAACCATAGTTTGTGTATAAATGTACACTTTCACACTTTCATACATTTATGCATGTGAGAAGAACTTAAATTGAGATTCTTATCAAATTACTTACCACCATATAAGATTTGCAAAAAGTAATTTCTGCAAATTACATCATCAAGTGACCAATAATTTAGTTATAAATCTTTTTTACTGTCTAAACGCACGCTATGAAAACTGCATTGATATTCATTTGATCCACTTCTTAGGAAGATAGATATGAAAATAAGTTTGATCAAAATTTCTTCATTTACAGTTAAATAAATTCATAAATTTGTGTCTTATATTGACTAGTGGTGTACAGCACGTTGGAGAGTATTATATTTTGGTTGGCAAACAGATGACTGAGTGGTACAAGTAACAAAATAACGTTTTTTTGGTATCAGAAATAATTTTAGAAGATAGCAAATTGTATTCGATTTTCAAATGTATTTTCATAATTCAGGAGGGTTTATTTCTTAGAACTCAATGGTTGAGCAGTATGAATACCATTATGACGTAAGAAAACAACATAAGAGCTTCTGATGATAAAATCGGTATAAGGAAACTACAATAATTGATATCTCGAATAATGCTACTGATAATTTGTGGTAACAATAATGTTACCCTGGTTAAACGTAGGCTTTAAATGGAAGACCATCTTAATATTTGAAATCACCAAGTTACCCTTAGAAACTCACATACATTTTCTTTCGAATTCTTCTTGTTTTGCTGAAAAATTCTCATTATATTAAAAACACAATTCTATGAACGAAGAATATTCTTTTCAATAATTTCTCATCAGGTTCTACAACTATAAATCCAAATCATTAATCCATAAGATTGGTCAGATTTACGGCAGAGCACATCATTTGGAAATTGTAATATGTGAATTGAGAATTGTTGTTTGTTATATAAAATCAATTCAGATCGTTAATGTTGGGACGACTAATATGAAGTGTTAACTTGAATCACTTTATAAGCGAAATGAAATTGTGAGATAAATTATCAGAATAAATGTGGTCAACATGGGGTAAGAGAGAGAGAGAGAGAGAATATTGTGATTATAAATCGGAAATTGCGTAATATGTAAAATAATTAGGTAAAATATAGTAGATTCAGGGGTGGATATTGGATAAATTCCTCAAAAAGGGGTTATCAAGTGTAAAGCCAATAATAATAATAATAATAATAATAATAATAATAATAATATAAATAATAATAATAATAATAAGTTTGGGACATAAAATGAACATTAATCAGATTACGTCACCACATTATAAGATTGATTATTAGCTAGTTGGTCAGGGTTAAAGGAGTGGCTGAACATACTTCTTTTGGATACAAAGCTCTGGCTTTTTGATCCGAATAGCAATTGCTTCAGCCGTCTGTAGGATTTGCAGTCTGACGGAATTAGGTAGACTGCTGTTGACACGATAGACTATTGCAAAAGATTGCTCCATGTTGGCTGTATGTCCTGTTTGGACTAAATGATCTTCTTGTTTTCATACCAATTCCATTGATTTATTTTATTTAGTTCTTCTATCAAATTGAATCTGTCAGTAGTTTTGTACAGTTTTGTGATAATTTTTATAATGAACCGATGTCATGCAGAAATGGTAATTGTCGTGATCAATGACTCATCAGAATTGCACAACCACGACTGAACACACTATGGATATTAGAATGTTCGGATCTTGAATTGAACAAGATACCTGTAAACCACTTTTGAGAAATCAATTGAATCGTATTTTGAAACCCAACTTATCTTAGGTATAGTTGAAGGTGATGCAATGTTTTTTTAGGTTACAATTTCAATTTCCATCCGGTTAACGCTAACGGTTATAGCTTTTCTACTCCACTCCAAGAAATTTATTTTGCAAGCACATCATCATCGGATAGATGGCTGATTTGAACTCTAATCATACTGACTTACTTGTGCACTACT